CGGTTGTGGATTCCTCAAGAAAATTCACCTGCCTTGGCCTGAGCAACCTGCAAGTTTTAAGTCCACAAGCCAATCATTGAACGTTTTTCTTTTTTAATAAAGATTATTGTACCATGATTTGTTTGGCCCACAGTTTGGCCTTGGATGGGTGTTGAAATATAATATAATATATAGAAACGATACTCAATGGTAAATTTAAAATAAAAACAGACTACGTTATCTCTGAGAATAGAAGTGACAAGTGCAAGAACTACAAACACGGATATCAAGAGAGTGATGTACTGCTATCAATCCGACTTACTTCCATCCACGGAAGGGAACGAGTGACCCCAGCCTTTAGAAAGTCACGGGCACAACTGTAGTGACGAAACTTCAGGTAACTCTTTTCGGCAACTTCTGTTTCCGAATCAATAAAAATCTCCTCGCGAATAGCTTGCAACTGTCGTAGGACCTGAGTCGAATCCGACTGTTCACTTTCCACAGATGCGTTGTTCTCCGACTGATCCTTGATTGGACTAGCAGGTAACAACACGAACCGACAATCGCGGGGCATATTTGCACGAGCCACGTTGTGATGACGTGTGTTGCGTAATAAACGACTAAACAAGACCAATTCATTCTCTCCATCCGGACTCGATTGCGCGCGACAAATCAGGCACGGAACTGAGTTGTCTGTGTCGGTCGCTTTGTCTGTTTCGGAAATGAAAGACCATAAGTCACGGATAGCCTCCGCGGGTGGTGTCAGTTCAACACGATGATTCGAGTCACCTGCAGCATTTACTGATAGGGCCTGCTAGAAGAGAGCGGAAAATCGGAGCAATTAACGCCTACTGAAGGCATGAATTCTAACTGCATTCAGATACAGAAAATATTCGAAGTTTTAGATACAATGTGGAGTGGTTGTAACTCGGGATGTGGATGCTGGTGTGCGAAGAACACTTCCAACTCGGAGAACACACCAATATGACGTTTTATTTTTTCAGTAGCATCGCGAGTAGTAGGGATTTGCCCGTAAAAAGCATACATTGTGATGAAAGAATAAATAAGGAGCCATCAAACCCGCATGCTATTTGGGAACGGGGGGAGGGGTGAAATGAACCGGACAAGTTATCAAGGAAATATGGACCGTGTTCTTCCCTACGATGGTAACAGAAAAAAACGGAAACTGTATGGGTTGAAAACACGGTAGGATGTACACTAGTGTAAACAATTTGGGTGGTGGTGGCGCAGTGGTTTAATCGCTGTCACCGGCGTGCTTTAGACCCCATGGTCCGAGGTTCGAGCTTCGCCACCGCCACCCGACTTTGGTGGTAGGCAGCTCTGCTGTCGTCCGGTTCAATACCACACCCAACCTATCGGGGCCTTGTGTGGTTTACCACTCCAAGTCCCGGGGCTTACGCTACCGGTTCCCATCACCGAACAGCAGGTCGCCGGGACTACGGGGCTCACCCCGCCTGCTGCTCATCACATGTGTGCAATAAAAAATGGTAGTGGGGCCTCGTGCGGTTCGCCACTCCAGGGGCTTGAGGTGTCGGTTTCCCATAGGTCCTCTTGACTAAGGGGCTAAACCATTCTGCTGCTCACCAGTGTTTAATAAAAATAAAAGGATGAAAATAAACACAACTCGAGTCAGACGACGCCACGAACGCACCGGCGAAGAGTAAAAAAAAGAACGATTCCACTCACTTTGTTCTGTCCGCGCATGCCAGGAAACCATGTGGATACCGACCCGAGGCGAATGAAATTTCGCTCGGGATCACTGGTTTGAGACGGGAATGCGTGAGCACAAACGATGGAAACAAAATATATGCATTAGACAGCAACCATAAAAACTGATTGAGGGACTGCAAGCCTGCAGGTAACAGAAAGTTCGAGTTATTAGGCTGCGCCACCACTTTATTTTGGTCGTTATGGCAAGGATTCAAGGAACAAGTAGAAATGAAACTATTTCCAAACCGAAATTCCTTTGGAGTGCTCTGCCTTCCAGACCGTTATTTCAATATTTATAAATGGCGTAATCCCTATTACTTCAATCAATACCTTTAAATATACGGCTGATGAGGTTCCATGTAAGGTTATCACAGACCAGTTTAACTTGGCATCGTTTTCTAGGAGTTTGTCACAGGTTGAACCATTTTCAAAGGAACCAGGTCTACATCCCAACGCTTCGAAATATTTCGAAAAAAATTTTAATCTTTGGCGCAGTGGGTACCAATTGGAAACGTTTGTACTCAAAACAAGAACACAGCATTAAATACGTAGGGGTCACCACAGAAACAGAGAGAGAGAGAGAGCGGAGCAGGTTATGGCGATCTTCCTATGTGCAAACCTATGCCAGTAAACTACTTCGGTAATTGTTCCAGGGATGCATGTTGAGAGAATTTATAGTGAAGTTATTTGTTCTCTTGGTTGTCAATGCATTTGTCAGCTGATACTTTTCCGGAACTAATTAAAAAGCATTCCATTACTATTTACCGCAGCTTAGCAATCAATAGCCATGCTTCTTTTATTCCAATCCCAAAACTGCGTAATGTTCACTCACTATCCAAAGAAAGTTCTGCCTATATGGATCTTAACAACCCCAGCCGTTAGCCAAATCCGCATCTATTTGCATGCCGTTTCCATGCTACAACTAGATTCAATTTTCATCCGCTAGCATCCGGATGGTGGTAGCTCAGTGGTTTAATCGTTGTTGGCAGCGTGGTTTGGACCCTCTGGCCAGAGGTTCGAGCCCAGTCACCCGTACCCAAATTTGGTGGAAGACAGCTTTGCTGTCGTCCGATTCAATACCATGCCCAACCTGTCGGAGCATTGTGTATTTCATCACTCCAAATCCCGGGGCTTAGGTTACTGGTTTCCATGTCCGAACAGGTAGGTCATTGTGATTATGGGGTTTATCTGATTTGCTTTTCATCGCACAAAGGTGTGTAATGAAAAAAACAGTGCCTTATTTGGCTCGCATTCGAACAAGCAAAAAGATTCTACAATGAGTTATTGTAAACCCACATAGATGACTCTCTTTCTAACGACGTTTATCACGATTTTTTATGATACGTGTGACATTTTAATTCCAGAGATGAGGTTTTTATTACTTTGAAACGTACCATACAGTGATAGCAATGGTAAAACGTGACCAGAAAATGGTATGAACAGTTTGGCGGGTTGAAACATTTTTGTTAGTACCGATTTAGAATTCGCGCTACAGCGAACCAGCTAGAAAACAAACTGGAATGGTGAGGCAATGAATTTGGCATGTGGAAAAATATGCGCAACGGGAGTTACCACTCGCTTGTGGTAAAAGTGTAATCACGCAAACAAAATCCTTTTTAAACTGGGTGTGGGAACTCACGCACAATCCAAGACGACAAGGGAGGCCAAATCTTTCGTGTGACGAATGGCGAACATGAACCAACGAAAAGATGGCAGCACCAGTGCCGGTAAGCCCAACAAGTAACGCAATCGTATGACCTCCGACAAAGTGAGAGAGGGAAGAGTTGTCACATCTTCCTCGACCACTGCCGGATGATCGCTCTTCTCGGAGTCGATTCCTTCTGCGACAGAGTGAATAAGGCAAGCAGGTTCACAAGTTGAACAGCCTGCAAGAACAGTTGCTAATTGTGTACGGTCAAACTAATACCTAGCATGAGGGTATGAAAAATCTCACGAGGATACTGGTTTACATAGGTACCGTTAGACTCCCTGGTTGGGGACTCCGAGATCATGGTCACCTATGGTTAGAGACAGTTGGAGACACTGAGCGATATGGCTGGGTGTCGCAAACAGTGGCGCTCATGCACCTACTCCTAACAGCTGTCTATACGAATTCTCTATCTTCCGCTTGAATTTGTTCTCAACATTCCAATTTTCATCCTGCTCTTTTATTCAAATGGGCGGCTAAAAGATAGCAACCGAAGCCAGCGCACGAAAACCCATGGTTAATGATTGCAAGGGCTGAACTGAACCGAAAAAGTGTCTAAGGTGGATGCGGGTGGAAATTCGTAAGAAAGCAAATCAGTGTTCAACACAGCGTACAAAATATGGCTTTTCATGCACATCACTATGTATGTTTCAATCGGCAAAGCTTAGTCATCGGAGTTTGTTACGACGACGAATTTCAGTCATATGCGCTCCCAAATTCACGATGGATCACCTCGGGGCTTCCATTCAGTTCACCTCATCTTGCTGGTGCCAAAATAGGCGAACATCAACAACAACACTTAGGGTCATGTTCAATATATTACCAATCACAAAAATGATCAGAAATGCCACAATGGAGCACCCCAGACGAACACTTCCATTGGTTTTTGATCCAGTCATTGCTTCCGCCCTGGGAATCGGATAAAGCAAAAGAGTCAAGCTACAGTGAACTGTGTGATTTACCATTCTTATGAGGCATTCGTTTACGAACAGATGAGCCGATGGAAACTCGGCGTGATCGGAATCAGGCTTGCTATCCAGACTGGATTGGATTCCAATATGGATTTGTCGACTTTCGTAAAGAATCTTTCTATGGGTGGCTGTAAACCCGGGAAAATTTATTTTGTCACCGTCTCACCTCTGTGCAGAGCAGACAGTTCAGTAAGGCCATCTAAACCGAAGAGCACTTGATACACCACTTCCCCAACCTTAGGATTCGCTTAATCATCACGTGTTCAAGGATCTTCACCATAAGGAGGAGCGTGGTGATGTGCCATCTCAGGTGTATATCCTGTGTTCTTTCTGTTGCATAACCGGTTCGGGAATTCCATGGATAACTAGATTTCCATTTCTTCCCAGTGCCAGTTTACTTTTGGCTACGAGGTTCGCTACAGCCCTCTAAAGCATATTGTTATCTTTTTTAGTCTTCGCAGCTCTATTTGATGTTGTTCCACTCAATGATTATAGCTTTTCAGTCTAACATTATCGGGGTGGGCCTCGATCTGGGCAGCCCCCAGCCAATAAGGTGCTGTCCCGTTCATGTTTCGCTTGTCTCATTGGGAGCATGAGGCCAGGGGCCGATCCCGAAAAGCAGACCGACAATCAACGCACCAGCGAACAACAAACTTAACCGAAATTCAAAGGCCTAGCGTGACAGGTCTCTAGAAGTTCCCACACGGGTATTTCGTTTACGCCCCCGCGTTGGATTTACGCCCAACTGCCTTTTGGGTCAGACTTATGAGTCGAAGGCTCCGGTTAGGGTTCCCAAAGAAAAACCCATTCGTCGGTGTGGGCAACCGGAAAGTACGCAGTGCCCTAAAGTCTTAGGCATCTATTTGGAAAAAACCTCTTTCCCATTTGTCTAGTTCTTCTTCACAATCCCGAATAATCCCAGATGCCTCCTGTTTACGCCACCTATCGAATATCAATCAGCGTTTTACAAGCAAGGCCAGACAATCAGAAGTTATGTGAATTTTAAAGTCAAAATCCCCTTTTCACTTAGCCATGTTCAATGTCCGCACACTCTATCAGATCGGTCAACAAGCCGCCCCAGCTAGAACCCCCGAAACTCAATTTAGATGTATGCTCTGTCTCCGAAACACGCATACAAGACCCTACTTCATTCATCTCCCTGCGTTCTCTTCATCCAACCTCAACTTCACGCTTCGTGTGTCAGGCGATTCGGCATTTGAAGCTCGCGGTGTCGCTGGTGTTGGGATTGCGCTAAGTGCCAAGGTGGAGCGCTCGCTTCTTGACTGGATTCCGGTCAGTAGCCAACTGCACTGTACGTCTCAACAGTTCAGCATAGGTCAACAGCTCCAGAATGAAGCGTCGATACTTGTTCGTCTTATCCGCCTATGAACCGACCGATTGCAACACACCTGAAATCGCGGATGAATTCTACAAGGATCTCTCTCAATTACTACAAAGTGTTAGATCAACGGACGTCATAGCAGTCACCGGAGACTTTAATGCTCAAGTGAGATCCCTGGACGAATCAGAAAGGTTTCTTGGCGGACCGCATGCAATCCCAGCCAGCCGGACGGACAACGAAGATCGCCTACTTCAACTCTGCGCGGACCACGGATTGTTCCTGACAAATACGAACTTCTCATGCAAGAAACGTCACCGCCTTACATGGAAACCGCTAACCTCTTCACAACGCTGGACCCAGATAGACCACATCGCCATCAGTTACCGGATCAATCCAAAACTTCCGCTCTTACTTGTCAACAGCTGTGGATACAGACCACGCCTTGTTACGAGCCAAATTCCCCCTAGGCTTGGCAAACAACCGCAGAGAAGCCACCTACAACGCATACCCACGATACAGCGTCCGCGATGGCCGCAAATTGGCCTTCGAAGTGGAACTCTGCGATCGCCTATCAGTCGAAGGACTCAATGAACATTGGAAGCAAATCAAAGAAGCAATGCAAATATCATTAAAAACAACGTCGGACTCCGGGCGCAGATTCAAAACACAAACGATGGGTCTCATCTACCTCGGCTGCCCTCCTGGACGCCCGCAGAACCCTGACTCCGGATGCCACATATGACAGCACGTAACTCCCTCAAGAGTCTGAGGAATGACCGCGAGAAGTGGTGGGTAGGGAAATGTAGAGCGATAGAGAAGGCTGCGGTTATTGGTAATAGTCGCAATCTATTTCGTTAAACTAGGAGACAGGATCAAGGAAAGTAGGAGTAAGTGAGGTAAGTAAGGAGTCTGACGGCACACTGCTTCAAATTCAGGAAAGCCGTCTTGGTTGATGAGTTGAACACTTCAAGGGTCAGTTCAACTGGCCCCCATTAACATCTGATCTTTCACCTTCCACTTTGATTGAGCCCTCCATCTGAAATGGAGGTTACCCGAGAAACGGCATAAGGCTTCCGGCCCCGACGGGATGTCCCCAGCGGCTTTTAAGATTGGAGGTTCAGCCCTGGTTTGGAAGTTAACAAAACTCCTGGGCTCATTGTGGGAGAGGGAAGACGTTCCAGCTGAATGGTGTGAATCGGTAATCATACCGATTCACAAGAAAGGCGACAGGTCCTCCTGTGAAAACCACAGAGGAATTAGCTTAATCAGCATCATCTCTAAACTTCTCGCCCGAATCATACTCCGACGACTGTCTGCCGCACGTGAACGGTGCACGCGTGAGAACCAGACTGGTTTCAAACCTAGTCGAGGTTGTATCGACCACATCTTTACTCTCCGCCAAATTCTGGGGCAACGACTTTCCTTTCATAGACCCACCATTTCTGTTTTTCTCGATTTGAAAGCGATTTTCGACTCTATCAACCGCTCTACACTCTGGCGCTGCAGTTCCCTGAAGGGTGTGCCTGAGAAGTTTACTTTAATATTACGATCGCTTTACACTAATAGTCGAAGCCGAGTGCGAGCTTACGGCACGTTTTCACCCGAGTTCACCATGGAAAGTGGTGCTCGTCAGGGTTGCTCTCTGTTTCCTTTTTTAACCAACTTTGTTATATATTTGATTATGGAAATAACCCTGTCCTCGTGCGAGGAAAGTGGCAGATTCACTCCCAGGTGACAGACTGATTACATTCACACGGGACATTAGGAAATTATGTCTCATATCTGGATTTACCGAAAAAATCTCAGGATAGCGCAATAAGCTATGGTGCAATTCCTCTAGTGAGTGAAAAAAGGAAGCAAAGAAAATAGCACAATCTTTCTGCAGAAGCATAGTAAATTTTTCTTTGCTAACAATGGTTAGAACTGCTATCATGAATCCCAGATGGACTTGTTGGGAAGTAAGATAGCAATAGCTGTAAAAAGTCTAAATGGTACGACTGTTCATCCCTTACAAAAATAGGGAAAATCGAAAGCTTGAAAACATTTAACCACGACAGGACTCACGGTTCGAGTATGGTAAACCATCCAGTGATTCAGACACGAGAAAAATTTCGAAAAATTATATATTTTCAAAATATCGCAGTTAACATAGGCCTAATGCACTATAACTAAATTATTTACCTTAGATTGGCTTAGTTAGCAGAACTCAACTGCGAAACATGCCAAAAATGAGACTGCGTCCGAA